AAAAGAGAGCGAGAGAGATGTATAACATGCTTGCAAAGAAAACAGATCAGAATGCATGGATTTATGAAGCTTGTAAGAAAGGTCTTGGTTTGGTTGGGTGAGTGATCACCTTTAGTGAAGCAAGACCGCTTTTCGGAATTGTAGCTAATCTCTAGGCATTTGCCAACAAAATACATGCTAGTGAAAATTTTGTAGGAAAAAAATTGTAGGCAATCTTTAGGGAAAATTTGTAGAAAACATATTTGTAGAAAAATTTGTAGGGAAATCTTTATAACGTAAAATGTTGTAAATTTGTAACTAATCTCTAGTCATTTGCCTACAAAATACAATTTTTAGGTAAATAACTAGAGAAAATTTTGTAGGGTACTCTAAAAAATGAACCTGAGGTACAACACCCATAAAATAAAGTACCACATAAAACAAGAAAAAAAAAAAGCTGACTCAAAATCATTTAATTTACCTGATCTAGAACCGGAACCCCTATCTCTATCACCCCCTCTCCAGCCGCCGCCACCTCCACCACCATCATTGGACGAACCACCCCAGCCACCACCATCACCAGCTGCAGGGCTCCTCATAGGAACCATTGCAGCAACTGATCTTATCGATGGGGCAGAATCGTGCGGATCATCAATATGCCTCTGAAAATAAGCTACAAGACGGTCTATATCTTCAAACATTCTTTTCCGGAACTTAAACCCTTTGGGGTATAGACCTATGTACTCGTGGTGTGGGTTAGAGCTCCGTATGTAGGTCAATATGAATGTGCCAGGGTGTTCGTGAGAAATCCCAAAGCCATACACTATCCTCATTGGATTCTCGGCCTTCTCGATTTTAAGGAGCTCGTCTACTTCGCTCTTGTTACCCCTCCTGAACTTTCGGTAATTTAGCATGGACTTTAGATGGGAAACCAATGGATCCACATAGCGGTCCATTACCTGCATGAAGGCCATGGGCTTGTTAGATCTTTGTCATTAAGTGCTAAGGATGGGATCAACATACTACTACACTTGTAATTAAGGCTGGTGTTCGGCTAACAACTAAAAACAATAAGACTGAACGACATTGCCATAACTAAGTCCAGAATAAATTCCAACACACGAATTCAGTGATATATAGCTCGAGACATTTTTCAACAGGTTAATTACGTTACGAGTACAAACTACGCCTGAGAAAGAACAAAACAGAAGTGCCCAGCAAAGAGAACAACAAAAGGATGGTTAAAACATTCTACTTTCTATCCTCCTGCATAACATAAATACCACCGAAGATCTTTTTTCTTGTAGACACAGATCCATTACATTTACTAGCAATATTATATACCAATAAACTTTTCACTGCTAGTCTCCTCCTATGGGCTTCATATCTAGACTTTTTAGCTATACTCCTTAACTAATAATTTTGAATCATGCAAATTAAAAGCTCTAAATAATTACCTCATCAAGATCTTCAAAAGTATCCTCTCCAATTTTCAGTGTTTTTCCTATCCGAAGCAAGCTTGTAATATCCTTGTGTTCCTTCCCACCTTCAACTATATCCTTGTGAGCATATACATCATCATAAACTTTCAGCGTCAAAGTCAAAAATGAAGGCCCACGAGAACTAGGACGGACAACACTTTCACCAGGATCCTTGTCCAATAGAAACTGCAAAGAATCAGACAAATGTTGTATGTTCAAACATGTTACAACTAAATATTCCATTTAATTCTTCTCTTTTCAAAAAGAATGTTGTATGTATTCCATTAATTACTGCCAGACAATCGAGACGGAAAGTGGCACAAGCAAAAGGTTTTCATACAAGAGTAGAACTGTGCTTCTAGTGTAATAGCAGAACTTTGGCCATAAAGTTAACATTCAAAGGTAACTGCGTAACAAATAACCCAGGTATTCCATATTGAAATTCCACTGGCACATGGAAAAAAATATAATTGAGTTATCACATCTCAATTTAAAGGCAAAATAGGTTGTATCACTTCAAATATAAAGAAATTAATCAATTCAGCTAGCAAGTTGATTGTAATTTATTTTGTAGAGGTTTACACACCTCAATTGCTTCATCAGCTGTTACATTTTTGAAACGAGGATGAACAATCATCCTTGGTTTAAAATGCTTCCTCGCGAGCTCCTTGTTTTTACGAGCCTTTTCCTGTGCAGTATGTAAGGTGCTCTGTTCTTCGTGATAGTAGGGATCCATAATACGATGGTTCTGGTGACGGCTGTTCCTTATTTCACTATCTCTGGAAGTTAAAATCACCTGATAGCGATTCTTCACAATGGAACGGATTCTGCAAGTTAAGATATCACCTTCATGCAACCTATCATTTAAGTCGTTAATATCCCTCCAATCATCAGCATAATCCTCTTTATTAAGCATGCCTGTCAATCCAGATTCAAGGATACAAATCGCTCTCTGAGGTTGCACCCTGCGCACCGTTGCTTGCACAATTCTTCCCTCAGCAAGTGCTTCTTCACTCTCTCCCGATATCAAATAAAACTCATCATCCTGACTTGGTTCTACAAATGGTCTGCGCCTGTCCTGAAATCCTTCCATCAACTCCAATCTTATATCATTAAGGGTTTCTTTCTTGTTGAGGCGGTTCTTCTGTTCAGCATATTCATGAACATCAACAGCTCTCAATAAATGAGGCTTCTCCCTTACATGCTCAATAGCCATTTCCAGCACATCATCATCATCATTCGCGTCATCATTTCCATCCTCCCGGTAGATATCCTTGGCCAAGTCTTGTGCCAGACTATAAGATTCGGGATGTATTCTTGTGTCATCTAACAAATCGATAAATTGGCTACTACTTGAAGTCAATCCACTACGCCGCACTCGCAGGAATCCAACAGCATTAATAAAAACCTTTTTACCCAGACCATGGGACGTCAACAGGTCTTTCCGTGTGAAAATGGCTCCTGCTCTTACCAGAGACCTCTGCAGAGAAGCTGCTTTCCTGGGACCCAGCCCAGAAATGAATTGCAGAGGAGCAAACAACCATTCATGACTAGAAGCCAGATTAAGATCAAGACCGACTTGGTTTGTCACGTCCACCATAACTTGTTCCACCATCCCATACTTCTCATCGGGAGTAAGAAAGTTCTCCAATGGATTTAATTTCCAAGACAATATCTCCTTACCTGGCCCGCAAAGTGTGGCAACCATGGCTAATGGATTCTGAAGATACCGTCCTAGACCCACAGCACGACGAATAATACCTTTAAAAAGAAAAGACATACAAATAAACCTCATTAAAAAAAAATTAACGGAAGGCAGTAACAAAAGAACACAAAATGACAGAAAATACAAGATAACGGGAGCTTTTTCAATATTATCCCAGAGATATCAACTTATGGCGTACCTTCCTGTGAAGGAAGCTGATCAACTGAAATGCGGGAATTTTCATATAAATGTGGAAGAGACTCGTCACCATAGACAATGTTCAGGTTATCCATTTCGTGACCAACATCTCTAGGATTATCTTCCACCATTTTGAAGATGATCTGATTATAAAAGGCAGAGAACATCAGAAATACACCTCATATGTAAATTTTCATGCCAGAAAAGATTTTATAACATAGTATTAAAAAATAAAACCAAGATTATATCAACACTGAATACCTCATAAATATCCTCCTTCAACCGGGTACAAGACAAATTAGCAGCTCCTAAAACAACGATGTGCGGCTGATGGTCCATCATAAATTTTTGCACTCGCTGCTGATCATTTTTCTTGCGTTGCTGTTCATTAATACTTTGACCACGAACACTGAGAGAACCAGCATGTAGTACATCTAAAACTTCTCCAGATGAATCCAGCATTGCGAAAGTTGTAGCAGGCTTTCCTGGGCCCCAGCAGCATGCCATGACCCTTGGTGCAGTTTCTTCATCTGAACTGATATCACTTTCTTTCCGCTGATATGGAGAAACAGATACTTTTTCCAACAACACCTTCCCATACTCCGCAAGTAACCAGGCTTTTGCTCTACTCGCCAGCAACAATCTCGCTTCCTTTTCCATTGAAGGTAAAAGAAAACTGTAAAAGGCATCATGAAGAATTAGCTTCCTCTGTTCATTCCATAGCTGCGCAGATTTACTAACACCGTCACTCAGATAGTAATCTTTTGAATCACTGATTAACTTCTCAAGGACCACTTCCGGTAGCTTGATAGTAACTTGCAAGAGCTTCTCCTCTTCGGCCTTCTGAATCAGAAGCCACTGCGCATCATCAAATCTAGTAAGTGGCTTGTCCCGCAACCACTTAACTCCAGCAAACTGATGAAATGAATCAATAGCCGTGTTCCCATCAGGTGTTGGACGGGTTGAAACTACAGCATTATCCATAAAGATGCTACGGACATGCTTCCGTACAGATGGCTCACAGCTAATCTCTACAGATGCCTGGAATTTACCATAGGAAGTTAGTAAATTGAAGACCATACTGAAAATGTTAAAGTAGGACTAGCACATACCATGTGCCTTGCACCTTTCAACACGGTTTGAGGTGTCTCAAACATCGCACAGGTGAAATTAGAGGCCATTTCCTCTGGTGCTTCCTTTGCATCCTCCAGTTCATCCATCCTCTACAGAACAGAACCACTTAATGTAAGGTTAGAACAAGGATAGTAAAAAATAAAACTTACATACCATTTTTTCGAGAGAAATCTGCAAGCCAAATTGTTCGGAGCTATAACCAAATTTGCTCGCGACCTCCCACAGTCCAGCTTTACTACAAATGCTGTAATGTGACTTTCTCTTAGGCCTCTTAAACTGCCCTTCGTCTAAGACAACTTCACCGGGCGGGAAGTGCAAGTTAAATTTCAAATCTACATCATCAACTTCTCTTTCTGAATCAGCAGCTTTAAGCGATTTAGTAATTGATTCAAAAAGTTGCTGATTCAAATTGAGGCGTGTCTCATCATATATTCTTCTATTCTCTTCTTCAAAACGCTTGCTGTAGTAGGACTGCAGCGCACTCTTTCTTTTCTGAAGAAGAAGCCATTTCTGATCCAAATCCTGGATTGTCCAAAGCACCTGAAGAACAAAACCACTTAAAACAAGGAGAATATGACGGAACTAGAACAGGTTGCCTCCACCCAACATCATGCAAGATATTACAAGACCATATCTTTTTAACTTACCATATGAGAAATTTTCACGCCTAAAGATGCTTCATAATAAACAGTTACAGATAAATAAGTACCAGTGCAGTACATGCGTAACCAAAGGCCTACCTTGTGCCACTTCAGCTTAGGCTTGTGGTCTGGATCATTATCAATGTCCGTTTCAGACTCATTTGAGTCCTTTATTAGGCTCAAAATCTCCTCTTTTCTGTACATAGCAATGAATGGAACCTGCAGCACACATTAACAATTTAGCAAAGTAATGTGAAATAGTGGAAAAACATCAGCTTCATAAAAATTAAATACCAAATGAGAGACAGACATACATCCAACTTTTGAACGTGCATCAATTCCAGGAATCTTGCTATGTGGCGCTTCAGTTCATCATCCACCTCCTCTGAACCGCTCTTGTTAAACAAAGGAACAGTACCGCTAACTAGCTGATTGTATATCCACTCAGTCTCCATTTTGATACTAATGTCATCTGTTGGAGGATGGCCGGTACTTTCCTCAGATATCTACAATAGAAGGATACATAATTACTTGACATTCTACAAATGAAAGATACAGAATTACTTGACATTTGAAAACATCAGCATGGAAAATCAAAAGATGCTCAATGAACCTGCATTCTCTCAGGAATGTCTATTTCCCGAATTCGGTCATCCTTCTCTGTCATATACTTCTCAGAAAGTATACTTGGATCAAACTGATCTTCAAGGCTTCTTTCACCGGTTTCACCATACCTGTCGCTCACCTCCAACTTGCGAATTCTCAAGAGATCTTCAACATCACCAAATATTTCGTGAGCTTCCTGGAGGGCTGAAGAGGAAATTCCTGGTCGGTGCCTGCTCTTCTTAACCTTTTTTCTCCTGCACACATATTGACGATTAATTTATATATATTTACTCATTAATTTTAACACCAAATGTTACAAATATTGGGTGCATGATGTATACCTCACAGGAGCTCCATGCTCATCAATTTCTTCTTCATCAACAATAAAATCTGCCATCTCATTTTCATCGTCAATGTCTGCATCCTCTTCTTCCAACTGCTCATCCTCCTCAGCAATATCCTCAAGCGGTTGCCCTGGGAATGTTGAGCGAAACATTAAATTTCAACTAAAATGCAACTACTTGAGTGGTTGAAACGCACATGGAGAAAAAGAAACCAAACAAAATTTACCGTCATCATCACCAAACAAGCTGCGTTTCAGCTTCTCTTCAGCTGTACGACCGCCGCTTCCACTGCCATCAAACTCTTCTTCATCTGAAAGCCCAGACGGCTCTTCTTCTGCATCCCTCCGAGCTTTTTTCAGTCGCTTGAACTTTTTACTCTCCTATGATTGAAGAATAACCCAACAGATATATCATTAAGGGCATATTGTAAATTCCAAAATAAAACCAGAGATGGACAACCATATTGATATTTACAAGTTTTGGACGAGGCACAGATATATTGCTTTCCTGAAGGAGTTCATAATCATCCTCATCAAGGACATAATTCCTCTCTGACTCCCTGTCATTCACCGGACAAATAAATATGAATACAATTATTACAATATTTCCAACTGACTAATAGATTCCAATAAACGCAAACATTAACACATTAGTTAAGCACCTTTTTTTTCTTTTCTTTTTCTTCTGTCTCTCCTCGTCGCTATCAACTCGATCTTCTTCCCCCTCGTCCTCTTCCTCATCAACATCATCGACAATGAAACCATCTTTCTCGTACTCATCTTCGCCTTCTTCTACTCAAAACATAAAAGGGGTTCCCATCAATCAACACTAATTTGAGAAAGGAAAAAATATTCCTTGGACAAAAAGTCAAGGAGATAAAACTGATTGCACCTTCTGCAATGAAATGGTTGAGGTACAAAATTCAAATAACATTCTATGGATCAAATGAATAGCCCATTGAGGCTCCAAGTAAGCTCAAACAAGACAGATAACATATAAACATCCATAACAAAAAAAAATCACTCATAAGAGAAAGAAACGCCAAAACCCAATTAATAATTTGTAACTGCATGCACTTGAGAACAAGCATGTTTCATCGCAGCTGAGTTCCTGAGCTACAAATGAGTCATAATATACCAGTTTAGCCCCATCTCACATCCCACACCACNGAACAACAAAACACAGTGGAGGCAATAGCAGAAAAACAAGACAACACAAACACAACCTTCTTCCTCTTCCTCATCATCATCATCATCCCGATCATCACCTTGCTCTGCGTAGGGCTCTTCTTCTCTCTCTTCTCCAACCCCAACATCATCTGTGCAAAAAAAACACAGAAAAAACAAAGACGAAAAGGTTACAGATTTAGCAAAAGCATCAAGCATTCAGAACCCTCGGCTGAAATTATTCCGCTCGAACCACACCTTCGTCATCGGAGATCACGTTCCTGCCAGCCATTCCACCTAAATTGCGAAAAAAGCAAAATCACGGGAAAAGGCAAAACCCTAATATCCGTGCACACAGTAGAAACGTGAAATGCTCTCAATCTGAAATGGCGGCGAGCCCTAGAGAGCGAAACCCATCTGGTTTTCAAGTTATCGATAAACACTCAATACTACAAGCAGCTCTGTGCGTTACCCCACGCAAAAATCACACACTCTCTCGCACACAGTTTGAATAAAACGACATAAGCTACAAGCGTACAGCGTTCTCCATTTTAGGAAGAGGAATGGAAAAATGAAGACATGTAAAGCATTTTCTCAAGTGGGCATTGGTGGTTGTGATTTATTTTGGGCCAAGAAAATGGGTATAGATAAAGCCCAATAGTATAATAGATATCTTCGTCTTAAATTTAAGCTGAACAGCTCGTGGCACGATTGTGTGTCGTAGTTTGGACTAAAGTGGACCAAAATTTACAAGCCCAACCATTTTTTGGGAAAGGAATGGAATAAATTATAACTAGTTAATTAGTGATGTTAAATTAAACGAGTCTGCTCGGCTCGGCTTGTTGAGGCTCGAGTTCGAAGCCTTAACGACCCGAACTCGAGCTCATTTAAAGCTTGTTTAGTTAACGAGCCGAACTTGACTCGACTCGATAAAGCTCAAAAAGAAATTTTTTATATAATTTTTTATAGTTCAGCTCGTTAAGGCTCGAGCTCGAAGTCTTAACGAGCCGAGCTGTAGTTTAATTTTTGACTCGTTTATTTAACAAGTTGAGCTCGAGCTAGGTTGGCTTGTTTACAGCCCTAATTATAATTAAATTAAAGTTTTTGAATTTGGAGCGAGATAATATTAATGAGGAAGTTTATTTTTTCATGATACATGAGAATCTTTAAACACTAGGAAAAGTCTCAATTAGTTGTGAGATTCATAAGGGAGCGATTTCTCTTTAGATCTATTCTTGCATTTAAAAATTGATTAATCGTTAGGGATACATGCATTTTATACTATGCTCAAGAGAGAAACTCAAATCCTAATAGTCTTGCTAAATGGTGATTCATCATAAACTCCAAATGATGATGAAACCAACGAACAAAAAGTATCAACGTTACAAATACCAATGCACCGATTGTTGTGCAATAGGATTGTATGTAATTAATTGGTTGTTGGTATTTTTAAAGTATTCTTGTAAATACAAGTTAAAATTCATCGGAAAAAAAAAAAAAGGAAATTACTTTGGCAATAGAATTGCAGTACCACTACCGTGTGCCCTGGCACACCTAGCTAGGTGTGCCAGGATAGTATTACACGCGCCCCTCACTCTCAAAAAGTTAGAAAATTTAGAAGGTGTAGTGCACTCTCCCAATTTTTCTTTTTTAATGAAAAAATGAGACATATTACATAAATTAAAATATCATTAATTATTTATATTAAAAAAATAAAATAAAAATACCAAAATTCATAATTTTTCATTATCTATAAATAGAGACCACATTTGATAGGTTTTTGAACACAACTAATTTTCGTTTTTTGGTAACATGTTCACCTTATTGTGTATGTAACATGTTCATTTTATTCTATAACATGTTCATTTTATTATGTAACATGTTCATCTTATTCTATAACATGTTCATTTTATTATGTAACATGTTCATCTAATTTTCATCTGTGAAAATGTAACATTTTCATCTTATTAGAGGAGATTTTGGTTTGTGAAGGTGGAGGATATTCGATCGAAAGACTAATTTATGAAATTTCTTTTACATTCTACTAGTTTTTCACTTTCATTCCCTATAGTATGACTATTGCATAAATTTGAGTTCTTATATGTAGATTATGGTTTATTATTTCAGGGCGGGGGTGCTTGCATTAAACGAGTGAAAGTCGAGCAAGAAATTAACCAGAATTTTGTGTATGAAGTGGAAATTGGAGAAAATAATGTGAGAACCCGTGATGTAGATATGAAATCTAAACATGTTCATCTTATTCTATAACATGTTTATTTTATTATGTAACATGTTCATCTTATCCTATAACATGTTCATTTTATTATGTAACATGTTCATCTTATTTTATAACATGTTCATCTAAATTTCATATGTGAAAAATGTAACATTTTCATCTTATTAGAGAGGATTTTGGTTTGTGAAGGTGGAAGATATTCGATCGAAAGACTAATTTATGGAATTTCTTTTACATTCTACTAGTTTTTCACTTTCATTCCCTATAGTATGACTATTGCATAAATTTGAGTTCTTATATGTAGATTATGGTTTATTATTTCAGGGCCGGGGTGCTTGCATTAAACGAGTGAAAGTCGAGCAAGAAATTGACCAGAATTTTGTGTATGAAGTGGAAATTGGAGAAAATAATGTGAGAGCCCGTGATGTAGATATGAAATTTAAACATGTTCATCTTATTCTATAACATGTCCATTTTATTATGTAACATGTTCATCTAAATTTCATCTGTGAAAAATGTAACATTTTCATCTTATTCTATGACATGTTCATCTTACTCTATAACATGTTAATCTTACTATGTAACATATTTATCTAATTATATATTTGCGTCATAATCTTCCAATAAGGTAAATTAATTGTAAAAAATGATAAATTAATTGTGTTCCAATGTTCATATGTTCATCTTACTATATAACATGTTCATATGTTCATCAAATTGTGTAAATATGTAACATGTTCATCTTATTCTATAACATGTTCATCTTATTATGTAACATGTTCATCTTATTGTATAAAATGTTCATCTAAATTCCATCTGTAAAATTATAACATTTTCATCTTATTCTATAACATGTTCATTTTACTATATAACATGCGCATCTTAGTATGTAACATGTTCATCTTATTATATATTTGTGTCATCACCTTCCAAAAAGATAATTTAATTATAAAAAATGATAAATTAATTGTGTTCCAAAACTTATCAAATGTGGTCTCTATTTGTAGAGATTGAAAAATTATGAATTTTGGTATTTTTATTTTTATTTTTTAATATAAAATGTGAATAATAATTTAATTTGTATAATATGATATGTAAAATTTATTATCCAATATATATTGGACACTTGTCTTTTTTAAAAAAAAAAAAAAACTTGCATACCTTATTGCCTTACCTCACGCGATTTTAAGAGAGAGTGCATTTCACACATGTCCTGGCACACCTAGCAAGGTGTGCCCTTTGTGATAGAATTGTAGTTCACAAGTTGTTGTAGTTTGAAGTATTCTTCTAAATACAAATTGAAATTGATCAAAAACTATACTTTTTCAATCGGTGGACATTCTGACCAGAAAGTAACTCGAAAAAATCACACTTGTGATATATTTATGAATTTAAGTAGTGCACCACAAACTCTAGTGCAAAATCTTTAACTAGATTGCATGCCCATGTTTTTCATGGTCACTTTTGACTAAATTGAAAGCAAAATCCACATCTTAAGGAGGAGCCCTCTCATTTTCCTACACACATATAGCCTAGGGCTGGGTCACATTGCTTTTGCATCACATTACATTTGCCCACCAAAGAAAATCAAATTAAATACTATCCTGAGTCGTGACCACACATTAATTGAAGCTTATACACGATGCTAATGTCAAATGCAAGAAATATAATCCAATGTCTACAATACCAGCCTACCCACGTTAGGTCAACCACATGTTCAATACTTAGATACATAAAATAAAATAAACAATAACTTTATTCCTTGGACTTCTATTTTTTACCAAAAAAATTAGATGCCAAATTAAGCAAAAAAAAAAAAATGTATTTCAAAGAAAAATTGCGATGAAATCAATAGTATCTTAATTTCTAAAAAAATATTTCAATTCAATGTTAATTAGATAAATGTTGGCAGAATAAACAGATTTTATTTTTTTTTTATATATATATTCAATTACAACCTTTGCTAGTTTAAAATCTAATAATCTGTCATCTAATGCTACACACCACACAAATTGAAAGACAAAACGATATGTGCAATTGGCCTAATTAAAAGGGTGGAAACATAAGCAACTGTTGAATGTCTTTAACAAAATTTGGCATTTACGAAAATACAGTTTTCTTATTCCAAATTGGAGTTTCGTTGGCATGTGATTGTTTATATGTGTAAACAGGTAAAGTTGAATTTTTAATAAATAAAATAATTTGTTTGCAAGACAAGGTACAAATTATGTATAAACAAAGTAATTAATTGTTAATACATAAGTTTCAAATGCGTCTCGGTTATTCTATAATAAGACGAATTATAGTATTCTTAATTTAATATCGATGATGGAAAAAGTATATTGTAGCATAATTAACAGAATATTCCAAGTAATAATAATATAAAATAAAAAAAGAAACAACGACATTACTTGAACGAGAAAAAAAAAAAAGGTTTGTCTTTTTTATTTTATTTTATTTTATTATCTAAAAAAGTTTGTCTTTCACTTAATCGTTTTTGTTGTGTAGATTGAAGCCACGGTGGAGATTGACTGGATAAAAAACTATTTTTATATATTCGTTATTATATAACTTATTAAAATAATACATTATTATTAATGTATATTATTATTTTATAATTATAGTACACAGTTAAAAATATTACTAATCATTTTTAAAATAGCTGTCAATAACAATACTATTTATTTATTTATAACTATTAATTTTAGTATATGATATTAAACTCGAAACATATTTGTTAACAAAATATGACCACCTAACAATTCGACTATGATCTAAGTAGCCCTAGCACTATCCATAGCCATAGCCATATGGAGTTTGGAGTACTCATATTTGAGTTTCTTGCCTCGATCTATTTTGTCTTTGTTCGGTTGCCCAGGAGATTGGTGCTTCTTGGTATAGTGAGTCGAACTTGTGGGTTGCCTGTGAGAGCTTTAATTCAATGTATAATTAATTTTGTTTATTTTGTTAATTAGTTTGTGTTTTTTTTTTAATTGACTTTTAGGGTATGATTGGATATGAATTTAGTTGATTTTTTTTTTTTAAAACCATAGTTAATTTTGAAATGATGTTATGGTTAATTGTTATTGAGTATATTAAAATAATATATAAAATAAAATAAATAAAATTGATTTGATGTAAAAGTAGGAGAAAAACGATTAGAGGTGATGATTAGTCAAAATTATGTGAGTGGATGAATAGTGAATTAAAATTTATGTGATGTATAAGAACGATTAGTTGATATTATTCAATTATATTGATAATATAGAAGATAATGAGATTGAGTTAAAGTTGAGTTAAATTTGAGTTTTGATTGATTTTTTTTAATGTTGAATTTATATCCAATCACCCCCTTAGTATTCTTTTATGGAGTTTTTGTCTCGATTGTTTGAGAGTTTTTTAGGGTCAATCCATGTTGCGGGGGAGCTATTATGTCAAAAAGACTCTTTTATAATATAAATTAATGTGAGTTTTTTAGCGTTGAACCATATTGAGAGACTTTTTATGTTAAAGAGACTCCCCCACAGCTCGTACATTTTTGTCACTTGACAATAAAGATGATTTTTGTAAATAGTTGGTTAGTGGTTATATTCTTTTGAATTTAAATTAATATTATCTGTTGTTTGAAAAAGAAAAAAGAAAAAAGAAATATATATATATATATATATTAAAATATATATATTAGACTCTATCGCAACATTATTGACTGGGTTTATAAATAGTTTTCAAAATCAATGTTTTATGAACAAAAATAAAATAAAAAAATATATTATTTACAAAACAAACTATTTAGCACAGTAGAGGGATTAATTAAGGTTCAATCCAGAACAAGCTTGGGAGTTTCCGAGTTTGGATTATCGTGGCTAAAAGAGTTTGATTACGCACAATCGAGGCTGCTTGACAATAGCCACAAACCAAGTCGGGATTTACTCAACTGTTGGGAAAGGTTGGGAACGTGCCATAATGGTTGGACTCTCATGTGTGATGCGGTTGTTCGAGATACAAGAATAGGTTTGGGAGGATGGATTCGGGACTCAGAGGGATCTTGTCAGGCTGCTTTTACTATGTATATCCATGGCTCGTTTTCTCCTTTATTTGCGGAAGCTTTGGCTATTCGTTACGGCCTTCGATTCGCATGTGATTCAAATTTTAAAATTCAAGAGGTTCTAACATATTCTTTAGGTGTTGTTGGAGGAATCGTTCAAATGGAAGAATTCGACCCCCTCTTTGAGATTTTTTCAGACATTAAGAAGCTACTATCTCTTTTGGATTGCAGTAAGTGTGAACACACCCCTCGAGTGAAAAACCAGGTGGCCCATAAAATTACGAATTGGGCGGTAGTGTCACATTTTTCTTGCTCTTGGAAGGACTCTCTTCCTTTTGTTATTTTATCTTTCTTCATCGATGTATTGAACTCTTAATTTGCTTTAATACAAAGTTTGTATTTCAAAAAATGACAAAAGAAAAATAAGGTTCAATCCACTAGGGCCTAACTCAGAATCATTTATTTATCTAAAAAAAAAAAAAAATAAAAATATGTGGAAAAAAATAAAAATAAAAAATAAAATGTGGAAAAAAGTAAAACAGCCGGATTCTGAAAATCCGTTTTTTTACGGAAAAACGGATTTTCAGAATCCGTTTTCACTTAATCCCGAAAGAAAAACGGATTTTGATAATCCGTTTTTCTTTAATTAAGTGAGTTTTTCTTTAATTAAGTGATTAACCTTAATTAAATCCGTGTTCGTAGTGAAAACGATTTTGCATAATCCGTTTTTATTATTTGATTTAATTTTTTTTTTAATAAAAACGGATTCTTAGAATCCGTTTTTATGTATTTATTTATTTTTTTTTAATTTTTTTAAGGCTCGATTATGTTCACGAACTCGTTTATCAGCGATCGCGTTGCGTTTATTTTAACTGAATTTTTTATTCTTATCCTTCAATATTAAGATTTTTTATAAATTCCAATTTAACATTTTGAACAAGAAATAATATTGATGATGCACACATTGATGATGTATTTTTTTAACATATTAACATCACCAATGTGTGCATGCCACATCAGCGGTGGACATATTAACATGTGCCTAGAGATGTTAAACGGGCTAGCCCTAACGGTTTCGGGCTAGCCTTAGCGGACTTTGGGTTAAACGGTCCGGGCCTAAAAAGCTCGAATTTAAACGGGCTACCAAAAAAAGGACCTAACCCTAACCCTAGCAGGCTTCGGGCTAAACGGACTATGCGGGTTATGGCTATAATAATAATAATAATAATAATAATAATAATAATAATATATAAAAAATAAAAATAAAAAGAGTAAAAAGTATAAAAAAAAATAACAACGACTAGTTAAAAAATGTTTCAACGACTATTTAGTATTTATCGTTTATCACTATATTTTATGTATTTCTTATTAGTCGTTCTGATTGGCTTAAATATTTTGGTATGAAGTACAATAACAATATTGTTAATAATTATCTTTCAAAATCATAATAATCCATTACAACTCGTACTTACATGTGGAATATTAAAATTGTAATATACAAGAAATCTAAGAACATTTACTTACTTGATGCAAACATTTACAACGCCCAACCCTAGTTAAACGAGCTAGCCCTAACGGGTTCCGGGCTAGCCCTAGCGGGCTTCAGGCTAAACGGTCCGAGCCTAAAAAGCTCTGATTTAAACGGGCTACAAATAAAATGACTTAACCCTCTTTTTTTCTGGGCTAAACGGGCCGGCCCGTCGGGCCAAGGACCATTTAACATCTCTACATGCGCCCACCGTGGGCATGTGAGCATTTCCCATAAAACACATATCATATCCAATAAATATAGGAAAAGGCTATTGTACAATTTTTTTGTACAACATTCAATGACAATATGATGTGACATGATGTTGGTGGTTGAGATGCAAATAAATGTATGATTGAGATTTGAGTTAATGATACTTTTAACTAAGTTATCAACTAATGTTGTAAACTGGTACATGTAGCATTGTTCATAAATATACATCCTAAATTTGCTAGCCAACTTTATTATTCAAATCATCAAAGTGCAATATAAAAATGGTTGCATTCTCAAATTCCTAATTTAACTACNAACAGTTGATCTACTGAAGTTAACTCCACAATCTTCTACCTCCCAATATCAAAACCCTAAAATAAACACAAGAAATATATATGGAAATGAAAAAAATAATTCACCATTTCAGCTCTCATCCGTGATCCACTCACCAAAAATCCCTCTTTTTTCGCTTTTATTTTTTTATTTTTATTATTTTCAGGACAAGAAAAGAAAGTTAAAGGAAGGCGAGGTAAGATATGAGCTCCCTTTCATCAATACAGACCAGTTAATGGAGCTTAGCAGGAAAGACCATGAGGAAGAAAACCCACATTGCTGAAAAGAATTTGCTGCAATGGGGAAGGCAGAGGACGAGCTTAATTTGCCGAGTACAACGGTCGATGCGCAGGGTACAGGCTCCAGTGCTGGGAGCAGTAGCGGGTGCTGTTTGGGTTGCAGTGGGTTTTCTAAATTGGTGAGCTTGAGATGTGTGTTTGTGTTGTTGCTGGGTTTTGCGGTGCTTTTGTCTGCGATATTTTGGCTGCCGATTTTTCGATTTGGGCACCATAAAGATCTGGATCTGGACTATGGAGGTTCGTGATTTTGTTTTTTCGCTTAGTTTTCTTTAAAAGAAGCTAACTTTTTAGGTTGGGTTGCATTTTTGCTGTAAATGCAGATCTGAGTATGTGTTTTATATGTAGCCTGAATCAAATCTGTACGTTTTGGAATTTGGATTCGTTGGGTTTTAGTTATTTTGCGTTTTTGAATTTTTGAATGGTTTACTTGTGATTGAGTTCTTAATTTTTAATGGTGAATTGGAGAACTTGTATGTTTGTGGTTAGAAGCAAATTTGAATTTCTTTATAGTTTTCTGTAAAATTGAAGCTATTAAGAACTCCTTTATTTCGTGGAGATTTTGTATTAAGATGTATAGTTATAGTTATAATTGTGGTCAGTGTTGCTGAATTGCTTATTTTGACAATTGATCCATCTCCCCACTTTTTCNTGGCTAATTCTTACTATGTTGATCGTTTCTTTTTTCATGTACTTGTTCTTTTTTCTCTTCATCTTTTTCCCTTCCACCCTGTGAGATCGGTTAACATGTGGCATACCATTTTTTCAATTCGTATATTGTAATCACTGCTACTTTTGAATGGATATATGAATCAAATCATGCAGCTATTTTTATTTTTATTGCGGCAGTTGTCGTAGATTACTCGCTTTAATTTCACATGTGCGAGTTTCATATAATTAAGCCTTGACATATTGCATTTGTATTACGATTGGTAAAAGGAACACTTTATTGTGCCATTAGGGGAAAAGAAAGGTTTGACATTGATTATGTAGGTGGAGCAATTGCATTTTGTTTCTGGTTTTCTACTTGGATTTATCGCCTAAATAAACTATTTATTCCACTGTCAAAGATATGGAGTTTGATTTTGATTATTCCACTTCTTAAACATTATGAGTTGAAAAACAATTCCACAATAAACTAATGGCGCGGAACAACTATTTTTTGCACAATGTAGCACATAAAGAGTGTGCTCTCTTGCAACTGTGTATTGCGGTGCTGCGTGAGCCTTTAGTTTGAAAATTTAGTTATGAATTTTAGAAATAGGAACCATAGATAGCGAAAGAGATTGAAGAATCACTTGGCAATATGCGCTAGCTTGATGGGATCACTAGATAGATTTTGTAAATTATACTACAAGTATCAATGCTGTTTTGTCACGTGTGATCACAGCTCAATGTATTAGTTGCTTGATAAGATATTGTGTTTATGACTTCAACTTCATGGCCAACCTGTTAACAGAAATTCCTCTTTTAATGCTTGTCTGCGACTAAGCATCTTTTTCGAGTTCATTATGTTCAATTTTTTCAGAAGGGGAGATTTTTCATTCATTATTGTAAGATATATCTGTTTGATATTCTCCAGGTCATGATATAGTGGCAAGTTTTGTTCTGAGAAAGCCAGCTTCTTTTCTTCAAGACCATGTCATGCAACTCGAGAATGATATTTTCGATGAGATGAGCTTCGCCTCTACTAAAGTAATTCAACTTACTCTTGAGATTTTTGTTCTCAAACTTTTTTGTTCTTGTTTCTTCTCATATCAGATACGACTAACTAGTTCCATACATAATTCTATACCAGGCATGTTGAAGTATCTAATATAGACATGTCCCTTCATTATTTGGTCAAGTATTCTGCATCTTGTATTCTTGTTACATATTTGCATGTAATTTTGCTTGGTTTGGTATACATGACGAACGATCTGTCGAATTAAAAATCTGAAAATGTAAGCTGGTTAACACTTATTAAGAGCTCATATGCTCGAGCTAACACCTACTTAATAATCTTGGACTAGTTATCCCTAATTGCTTTAATTTGCGATTTTGATATTGTTGTGTTATGCTGTTAACACACTTTTTTCAGTATAATAATCTTCTGTTTTCTTATATTTTTGCCTAAAAATCTTGGTTTTGTTCCTCTCTATGTCAGGTTGAAATAGTATCCTTAAAACCATCTGCCGCTCCAAACGTAACAAAGGTTGTGTTTGCAGTCGAGTCAGACGTGACTACCCGGAGTTTAATCAGAGCCTCTTTTTTGTCCATGATTACTCGCCAATCACCTCTTCATTTGACCGAATCTTTGTTCGGCAATCCTTTTGAATTTGACGTGCTCAGATTCAAGGGAGGGCTTACCGTCAGCCCCGAGCAGAAGGCATTCCTTATGCAAAACGTTCAGATCCTTTTCAACTTCACTTTAAACTTCTCGATCGATGAAATCCTAGTCAATTTCGAGGAACTCCGAAGTCAACTGAACACAGGCCTACATCTGGCTCCATACGAGGTGATAATAGCTCTAGTTTAGATTAATTAGAAAGCAAAGTTACCGTAAAGTAAAAAATATATGAAATGTTTTGACGAGACTTTACCTGAATCACAGAATCTGTACATACGCTTGACCAATCTGAAGGGCTCAACCGTAATTCCACCCACAACCATTCAAGCCCAAGTCCTCCTAGCCGTGGGCATCAATGCCTCACAATCGAGGTTAAAGCAGCTTGCTCAAACCATAACCGGGTCCCACACTAAGAATCTTGGCCTTGACAACTCGGTTTTTGGACGAGTCAAGCAAGTTAGCCTCTCGTCCGTACTTCAGCACTCGCTCGGTGGAGATGCCCGCGGGCCCGCCACATCACCTTCTCCTTCTCCTATGCCGCCAGCTCATCACCACGGCGACCACCACCACATAACTGTTCCCGAGCCTACAATATCACCTTCGCCATCGACAGGTCATAATCGGGGTTCACCTGCGCCTGCGCCTATTCCTATACACAAACGCGCGGGGAATAAAAAACCACTTTCACCGCCGCCGCTGCCAGCCTGTCAATATGGTCGTGGTCATACGTGGAAGCACAATGGGCGTCGCCACGTGGCGCCTTCTTATTCGCCGGATTACGGGCCGACTCCTAGTCAGTCGCAACATAGGAGGAAATATTCCCCGCCTCTCAAACGGGCTCCATTTTATGGGGCAAGCCCGCCTGGCGGTGGTCACGGTCATGGTCATCATCACAGCCATCCGCCATCGAGGAGTGTGTCTCGTGTAAGGCCATCGAATGTGATGCCGATAGTTTCATCACCTTCGCCGTCTCCATGTAAGTATATGATTTTGCATTTTTTGGAGCTTTTTTTCTTCATTTTTAATAGGACTTATCATGTGAAGGAAAAAGATCTCTGCAAGTACACTTTTTTGGCCTTATGTGTTGGTTTGGAAAAACACGTCAGGTGATGTATAGTTCATCTAGATAACTTTAGGGGGCGATTGGATATAGAAATTATCCGGTTTTTGACTGACCGGATAAATTTTTATATTCTTAACTCAAAATTCGTCTCAACTTTATCCAACTTAATTCGCGTCAATATTATCAATATAATTAAGTAATAACAATTAATCATCCTCACACATGATATCAGCTTTAATTCAATATTCATCCACTCATATATTTTCAACTACCCATCACTTTCAGTCGCATCTTTCCTAATTTTATATCACATCAACTTTAATCATTACATTTTCAATATTAGTTGAATCCAATCAAAACCATAATATTTTATATCCAATCACCCCCTTAATGGTTTAACCAAGTCACTCTTTAGTTTTTATCTAATTAACAACCAAAGAAGAGGTTGTATTTGGGTTAAAAAGTATCCCCTTCATAATTTTGGTGCAAGGTGGAAAAATGGAAGCATGCGTAAATTAGGTACTTGCTATTTTCTACCTAACTGAATATTGTTTTCTTTCCTTTTTTCTTTTTCTTTTTCCTTCTAAATACAGTTAAGCTAAACATCAATAGTATAGTATATCTATCTCTCCCTATCTCCAATATATATAATCTGTTTGGTCACAACATGTGAATAAGTTGGGTTCGATCTTCCAACTTTTTTTTTTTAATAATTTATACTCAGGTTCTTACCGTTGTTTAATGTGCGCATGGCAACTTTGCACCCCCAATTTTCGTAAAACATGTAACATTTTTTTTGAATGAACATCTCCCCTTTTTGCAGCCTCTGCAGGTATCTTATCCTCCAACATACTGGCCTTGCTGCTGGCCATATTAGTTGTACTGCTGCTTTTGTAGTTGAGCAGAAAACGAGAAGCATCATTTTGTGATGGGAAAAACTTCACAAAACTACGCTTCTCTGAGTTGTACCCGCTCACAAAACGAGCAGCTGAAAGGAATTTTGCTTGGTGAGAGTTAATGCAAAAAACGAACAGTTCTCACCGTTGATTGGATAAAGAAAAAAAAAAAAAGTCTTTGTGTTTGTAAATATTTCGATTGAAAAAGTTTCGGGGCAGGCGAAAATGCACCAAGGTCAAAGTCTCAGAGGTGACGGGCCCTGTGTTGACATTGCAATGCCTCTAAGCTGTGTATGATATATTAATTTTCTTCGATAAATCGAAGAAGGGGAAAAATCTACAAATGTATAAACATCACCCTTTTGTTCTCTAATGTCTTACAAGCCCACAATCAATGGTATTGTTCGCCGTATGTGATACTTTGGTTGATTGTATTTCACGTTATGTGTGAGATATTGTGAAGCAAATTGGCCTATAAAGTTGTTGTCTTTGTGCTATGATGACTAATTATCAAGTCATGTTCTATTTTTTCCAACATATATAATGCTTCCTGTGCAAATGACAAATATAAGACTATGGTCATATTCTTTCAATAAATGTAAATATTTTTATATTCATACGTCATACTTTAAGATACAAATCATACAATATTAACAAAACAAAAAAATGATATTTTATACTATAAACATTCATTTTATGATAAGAAAATAGATTTGCTCAACAATTTGATAACCTTGCATGACCATTTGTGCACTTCATATGGTTCTCTTCACAAACTCAAAATTTGTTTCTAGTCGGATTAACAAATCAAAGTTTTTACACGAATGTTAATAGTAGACTGCCTAACCGTTAAACAATTATATTTTTTTGTGAAATTTCATATCTATCAGTATGATTCTCTAACCATTTATTCAAAACTCTGCATTTTTTTGAAAATAACGCACATTATTTTTGTTAAACGTCTAGTTATTTTATACAAATAGTTTTTTAAAATATATAACATTTTATTATATGAATATATGTCAAAACATTTTTTTTCGTGGGAAACATTTTATTATATGAATATATGTCAAAACATTTTATTATATGAATATATGTCAAAACATTTTTTTTTTCCAAATTGTACTGTTCTTAAGATATGCAAATTATATTAGTATTTTTCGTGGGAAAATGTATATTTAACTTTATGGATATTTATAATTTGCAACTTCACTTACTTTTTGATTATACGCAACATTCATTATTGCGAATGATCGTATGGTCAAAATATAAATGAATTCATAAATTAATAATATTCATCAATTTCAAATTGCATTTTACCCACAAATAGGGTAAAGTCGAAAAACACATGTAATATAATCTATATCTATATATATATAATAAGAATTATCATTTACCAAAAATAGTAGCAAAAAAATAGGTTAGAATTTTATGCAACCTATAAATAGTAAGTTTTTATTTTCTTATTTTCTTCTTTAAAAATCATACAGCATTAAATGCTATCTTAAATTTCGGGCATTAGTTAATTTTATTATTTTTATTAAGTGTGTATGTTTTTATTAAGTGTATATGTTTTTATTTCTATTTACTTCTTAGAAACAACGAACAACATTAAAATCTCGATCTCTATATTTATAAAATCTCAATTCAAGATATAACAAAAGTTTTAGAATCTCGGTCTTTATATTTGTGCCTTTAAAAAAATATTAAACGCTAAAAATATTCTTTAAATTGCATAATAAATTAATTAATCTTCATTTTTCGAAAATTACTATGTTTATTTTTTATTAATATGCATAAAGTAAAAATAATTAATATACCTTTAGATATATAATTTATAATCTTAATATACTATCATTTGGTGTAGACATTTATTATATGAATCATAAAATATTTTTATTTCATAAAATTAAATATATTTAAAGAAAATAAAAAATTTTCTTCGGATCAATCGGGTGATTGAATAAGGGTACTGCCTAGGTTGATTGAATTACTTCTAGGTACTATTTAAAATAGTAAAAAAACTTGGCACAACTTGGTTGGTCCCAGATGACTAAGTTATGTATCAGTTCAACCACACCAAATTGATTATTGAACTGATATATAAATTTTATATTGAAAATATTTTATTACGTGAATGTGATGTAGTCCAAAATTCACACAATCGTACTAACAATACTTTTATGACAACATCTTTAATGATTTATGAATATTTATATATCATTTTATTAATATTTATGTAAATTATATTAATTTTATTATAATATTTATTAATGTACAGTAAATATAAGGTTTTCAGAACTAGACCGTCATCGAAATGATCAAGCTATTTTATTAAATCATTTGTGGTTTGTTCAAATTTTAATTTATAAACATTTCAATAGATACACACACACACATATATATATATATAATAGTACTTTTTGTAATAAATTTAAATAAATGTGTTACTTAGATATCTAAATAATTTATAAATTTAAATGTTTAAACTAATTTATAAATAATTTTTAAATCTCTATTTTATTTAAATATGTAATTTTATTTACAATAATTTTAAATATAACAAAATTTATTTAGAAATTGTATCTATCCTACCAGTCAAACTGACTGGTGTTGACAGATTCGGAAGCAAATATTTTATTCAAGCGAATTAGATTGGTTATAAACCGGTTCTCGGTCCATCCGATCGGACTGTGTCCAACCCGGTTTAATTTAAAAACAATGGATAAATCATGATTAATGTTATTTATATATTTAATTTTATAATACAATCGTAATATTGTTTCCCGTGCATCGCACGAGCCACGCGCTAGTATAAGTTAAATAGACAAATTAACCTATTTTTCGTGTTGACGATATAAAAAAGTGGAGCCATAAATAGAAAACAAAAACCGTCCGCGCCAAAGAAATCGGAATACGGAGAGAGTGCGTGCGTTATACCAGTTTTTTCTGAGCACAGAAAATTCACCTATAAAGGAAAATTACTGTTGGTTTGATGCCATTTTGAATCCGGAGGAAAAAGAAGAAGAAGAGATTTGTGTTTTCTCCTTAGGAGTTTCCTTTTTTCGGTGACGGAATAATTCGCTCTCGCGCTCTCTCCCGTTGCCGTTTTACTTCGCCCTGAATGCCTCACCAGTGTTCAGGGTACCTCTCCTTACTCTCTCTGTATGTGTATGTGTATGTATATGTTTGTGTGTGTGTGTGTGTGTGATTTCTGTTTCTCTGGGTGTTTTTTATATTTTATTTTATTTTTCTTGTGCGGGTTTGTTTGTATGAAATATGGTGCGGCAATGAAGATTGTGTCGATTTTGTTTGGAATTGAGAATATGAATTTTTTGATTGATTTTTAATTATATTTTTGTTTTATATGAATGATATTTTTGGTTTCCTTTGATTGCATAACTTTGTTGTTGAGCAATTTTATCACTTTCGTGGAATGCATTAGCTTCTATGATGAATTCGTTTAGAAATTAAGATTTATTTGAATTTGTGTATGGATTTCCTCATTGCAATTGGGTTTAATCAGCTGAAGTTTGTAATGAGAGATTGTTTCTTTGTAATGTCTACTTGATGCTCATTTAGGAAGGATTAGATGGATAATCTCAATACAGAGCCAATGCTATTTCCCCCTTTTTCTCGTTCTGCAACCTCTTCGTTCCACTTGTTCTGCGTTTGGCGGATAAAAATTCGGTTTGCCTTGACGAACTTTCATGCGTTAGCGTGAGTTGCATTATACAATATGTTGATTTTTGTTCTCATAGTACTACTAATTCATTGAGATTCTTGAGTGGAGACGATTGGTTTGGAAGGTTGTCTGATCATGAAGTTGTGGAATAATGAATTCAATCCATTATGTTTCCATTTTGTTTTTCTTTATTCGGCCAGTATTGTTAATGAAACAGAACTATAATGATAAGGGTTTTCTTTTTTCCTCCCATCCATTTTATGCAGTCCATTTTGGTGATTTTTAAGCAGAGAAGCGAGGGTATAATAAGATGGTATGTAACACTATTTTAATTTCCCTCTTTTCTTAGAGTTGTTCCCTACATATATAGTCTGAGTGATGCTAGCTTGGACTTAATACAATAAAAAGGAATCATATAACGGATGGTGGCATATCTGCAGGTGTTCGGAGATTAGCACCATGGGTCTAATTGTTGATTTTTGCAGCCTTTTCAATGCGAATTTCAAGTAAGAAAGTATATTTACTGAATATATCTCATACCTCGTTATTGCTTTGTTCACTCTGGATCTTCGTTATAGAAATCTAAGAATCATTGTCAAGCATCATGGTACAAATTCCAAGTGGTGTATGGCCTGAGCACCGCTCAGTTTTAGACCCATGTATTAACTTTAATAGTGTTCAGGAACTATTCATTTAACTAATCCTTGATGCTTGACTAATATGCCCTGATCCTGATCATCCTTCAACTTAACTCTTGAATGCAGAACTACAATGTCTAATCTCCCAGTGAAAGTGATTTCTTAACAAAAAACGGAACCAAAAAGAAAAAAACGAAAAAAACGAAAAAAGAGCAGCAGCCCCCCTATAGCATGTATATGACCCGTTCTCTCGTGCACGAGTCTCTTCAATATGGCTGTAGCCGTTGATCAAGCTCATGGATTCAAGCCATTCCCTTCCCGCCCCCCGAGATGCAACCTCCAATCTTTCTCTCAACTTAATCCCGAAATGCCCGACTTCACCCGAACCACCAACCTCGAGTTCTCTAACATCATCCACAAGAGCTTCTCCACCCCATGCCTCTCCCACTCCTCAGACGAGCACAGGCCCACCACCGCCTCCAGGATCGAGATAATCGCGGGCCTGGCCGCCCCTCGGGCCCGCGCCCTTGTCGCCGAAGTCGCCATCGCCATGGCCTCCGGTGTCAGCCCCGAGCCCGTCTCGAGTGGGCTTGGTGGGGCCTACTTCCTCCGGGCCCATAACAGCGACACTATAATAGCCGTGGCAAAGCCCGTCGACGAGGAGCCGCTAGCGGTGAACAACCCGAAAGGGCTGGCCGGGCGGATGCTGGGCCAGCCCGGGATTAAATGCTCCATCATGATAGGCGAAACGGGCCTCCGAGAGTCGGCCGCTTATCTTCTCGATCATGATGGTTTTGCTGGGGTACCTCCCACGGCTTTAGTTAGATTCTCTAACGTCAAGTTTAATCTGAACAATCCCGAGCCTGTTACGGGCCCGAACTACAAAATCACTTCTTTACAGCGGTTTGTGAGCCATGACTCGGATGCGGGGGACTTGGGCCCGTCTAGCTTTTCGGTCACCTGCGTGCACCATATAGGTATATTGGATGTTCGGCTGATGAACCTCGACAGGCACGCGGGGAATATTCTGGTGAGGCGAGGGGCCACTGCTGAGCTGGTGCCGATTGATCACGGGTTCTGCTTGCCTGAGTCGCTCGACGACCCGTATTTCGAGTGGCTCCATTGGCCGCAGGCCTCGATACCGTTTTCGGAGCTGGAAATCGAGTATGTGGCACTCCTCGACCCTTATAAGGATGCCGAGCTTTTGAGGACCGAGCTACCCTCGATTGCTGAGTCATCTGTTCGGGTGTTGGTCCTCTGCACGATATTCCTGAAGCAGGCCACAGCTCACGGGCTGTGTCTTGCCGACATAGGCGAGATGATGACTCGGGAGTTTTGTGGAGGGGAAGAAAATTGGAGCACGTTGGAGAATCTCTGCATGGAAGTGAAGTCTAGCTTGAAAAAGAGTGGCGATTTGTGCGAAAAAAATGGGAATAAGCACGAAGAAGGAGGTGACGAGATGTTCCAATTTGATGACGAGTGTGGAAACTTGGAGAACTTGCCTATGAGGGGTAAGCCGTGTAAAATCCCGAGATTCTCTTCGATGAGTGTTTTGGTTGAACCGAGAAGAGTGCTAACTTTGAATGAGGACGAGCGGTGTTTTGTGGAGGGGTGTGGTGGTTCGGGCGGTGCAGATGATGATAGTGGGGATGAAAGTAACCGAAAAACGAGTGGATTGATGAGGAGCTTGAGCTACTCGGTTCCGAACTATAATCTTGACGGGAAGTGTATTTGTTTCGGTGAGATGGATGAGGACGAGTGGCGGTTGTTCTTGGCGGGTTTCGAGAGAGCTTTGCCGAAGGCTTTTGAGGAGAGGAAATCCATGGGTTTGTCCAAGCAACGGTTGGGATCTTCATGTGAGTTTT